GCCTTCGCAGCGAACGCAGCCTCGCCTCCGACGGCGGAAGTTGGACCGGTTGGAGAGCTCCCTCCATTGCCTCCAGTGCCTCTTCCTTGGGAGAAACCGAAGCCTAAGTAATTGATCCGACGAACGTCGCCTGCAGCATTGGTAGGTTTGGTGTTCGGCCATGCAGATTGGTGAAGTGCTGTGTTAAGCAGCTCCATGATACTCGCTGAAGGCTTGTTGGTTGAAGTCGCATTGCTTTTGCGGTGCTAGCGACCTGCGCCCGTCTCTTTGGCGTGCTTGGGGTCCGTGGGAATGCCGAGTGATTGATTGGAATTCGAAATGCACACATGCATCCTGTCATGATTGGCGCACTCTCGGCTTACTTCCTTGAGCAAGTCTTGCATGGGGGACAAGGATCTGGATCATTTTCTCATCGTACATTTTCCGAAGAGCGTTGCCTACAGCAGGGTTGATCAGATCTTGAGTCATGCGGAGTGATGAAGTGATGTGTTGGGCAGATGCTTGCTTCTCGCTGATGACTTCGTCTTGGTTGGGATCGTGACGCCATTGTGGCGCTTACCAATGTACCCTCTCCGTACGAGATGTGCCCGAGTGGTCGCGCCAGGAGAAAATTAGCCCGACGAAGGACCCAACCATATGCAGGTGTGCGTACTGCAATTGTGATTCAATTTTCCGGCGGTGGTCCTTATGGGGCAACGAACCGTGCCAGGAATGTGCCGAAATGAGTGGCGTGGTACACGACGCGAGCGAAAACTAACAACACAATGTGGACTTCGCCACGGGGACCTTCGGTGGGGCTCCATATGGGGCCACGAAACGCTGTACTGGGTGGGGGGGACGCATGCGGACTGCGCCACGGGGACTTTCGGTGGAGTTCCCTATGGGGCCACGAAGCGTGTGAGGGGTGCGCCGGCATGAGTGGCTGGGGCGCATGCGGACTGTGCCACTGGGACCTTCGGCGGGGCTTCTATGGGGCCACGAAGCGTGTGAGGAGTGTGCCGAAATGAATGGCGGGGACGCATGCGAACTGTGCCACTGGGACCTTCGGCGCGGCGGAGCTCCTATGGGGCCACGAAGCGTGTGAGGGTGTGTCGAATTGGGCGGCGGGGGCGCACGCGAACTGTGCCACTGGGTTTTTTTCGGCGGAGCACCTATGGGGCCACGAAGCGTGTGAAGGGTGTGCTGGAATGAGTGGCGGGGACGCATGCGAACTGTGCCACTGGGACCTTCGGAGGGCTCCTATGGGGCCGCGAAGCGTGTTGGGGGCGTGCCGAAATGAGTGGCGGGGACGCGTGCGAACTGTGCCACGTGGACCTTCGGCGGAGTTCCTATGGGGCCACGAAACGTGTGAGGGGTGTGCCGGAATGAGTGGCGGGGACGCATGCGAACTGTGCCACTTTCGGCGGAGCTCCTATGGGGCCACGAAGCGTGTGAGGGGTGTGCCGGAATGAGTGGCGGGGACGCATGCGGACTGTGCCACTGGGACCTTCTGCGGAGCTCCGATGGGGCAACGCACCGTGCCAGGGTGTGCCGAAATGAGTGGCGGGGGCGCATGCGAACTGTGCCACTGGGACCTTCGGCGGAGCTCCTATGGGGCCACGAAGCGTGTGAGGGTGTGCCGACGGCGGGGGCGCATGCGAACTGTGCCACTGGGGCTTTTTTCGGCGGACCCCCCATGGGGCCACGAAGCGTGTGACGATGATGATGATGATGATGATGATGATGATGATGATGATGATGATGATGATGATGATGAGGATGATGATGATGATGATGATGATGATGATGATGATGCTGATGCTGATGCTGATGCTGATGCTGATGATGATGATGATGATGTGATGGTGATGGTGATGGTGATGGATGGTGATGGTGATGGTGATGGTGATGGTGATGTGATGGTGATGGTGATGGTGATGATGATGATGATGGTGGTGGTGGTGGTGATGTGATGGTGATGATGGTGGTGATGATGATGATGATGATGATGATGATGATGATGATGATGATGATGATGATGATGATGATGATGATGATGATGATGATGATGAGAGGAGGGGAGGGGAGGAGGGAGGAGGAGGAGGAGGATGAGAAGACGCAGGGACCGTCTCTTCAAAACGATGACCCAACAACACAGGTTGGTTGGGAAAATGAAAGGAGGGGAGGAGGAAGGAAGAGGAGGAAACGCGGGGACCGTCTCTTCAAAACGAGGACCCAACAACACAGGTTGGTTGGGAAAAAAAAGAGGCCCATAGGGCCCAACGACAGTCCAAAAGCGCTCAAAGAGCCCCCGAGGTTGCTTCAAGACGGCCCCAGAGGCCCCCAAGATGTCCCAAGAAAACCTTAAGCGGACCCCGAAAAGCGAGAATCATGCCATTCCCTCCAGATGACGTGCGGTTGCAGGGTGTGTCTTTCATTGTCTTCACAGCGTCCACATCGGCCCAAGAGGTCCCCAAGATCGGCCCAAGACTGCCCAAGAGGTCCCCAAGAGAGCCCGAAGACGGTCCCAGAGGGCTCTAAGACAACCCAAAGAGAGCCCCAACGCAGCTCAGAAGGGGCTCCAGAGGGCTCCAAAAGGCTCCCGAGAGAGCCCTCGGATCGGTCCAAGATGGCCCAAGGAGGCCCCCAAGTGCCCGACGACGGTCCAAAAGAGGCTCCAGTTGGCTCGAAAGGCGCCCGCGAGCCCCTAAGAGCCCTCCAGAAGACCCCCAGGGGGGTCCAAGAGATCCTTCAGAGCGTCCCAAGACGGTCCCAGCCCCCCAAGACGGCTCAAGAGGGCCCCAGGCAGCCCAGAGGGGCCCGAGTCTCTTCTCGCCCTGCCTCACTCTCCTTTCTCTCGTGCCCGCTCTGTGCCTCGCTACCCTCTTTTCAGAGACCTCGTCGAGGCTTCAATCAGGCAAGGCTTCATGCAGGAAGCGGACAACGCGGGAGCGATCATACGACTCCTTGTTTCCAGCTATCTCCTGACAAGTCTCTGTCTAGCGGGTCAGGCCCACCGCAAAGGGAAGCTTGAGAAGCACCGCTGAATTTTTGGGCACCTTTTTCGATACGTCCGAAGCGCAGCCCGCAGGCCCCACACTAGCCCCGCTTCACACGTCCCCAACGCGCATTCCAGAAACACAGCCGCACAGACAAAGCCCTCGGGTGAACACAGCGATTGCACGAGCTTCCAAGACAGCCTTTCACGCAGCTCCGAGCGGCTTATTTCGGCCCTCAAATTGAATCCCATAGCGCGGGGGCCCACATTTCTCTAAGGTCGGGGCTCGTGTCTCTATGAGGTTCGCCCTCTGGGCCACAACGCGCTTTCTTCCTCCCTCCCTCCCCACCCATGACGTGACGCTTCCCCCCGAGTGCGCCCACGGCACTGCCGCCGTACGTCAGGCACCAGTCTGTGGTGCTGGACCCACACGGCGGGGGGGGGGAGGAGGGGGCCTTTCATTATGACCCCCCCCCCGCGCTCCCTCTGCCCCCCCCCTGTGATGCCCGCAGTCGCCGCGAATGTAAAAGACTGCGCTCTCCCGGGAGTTCTCGTCCGGCATTCCAGGCAGGGGCCCCGCAGGCCCCCGAGCTCGGTCAGCGGCAGTCCTCCCTAACGCTTCGGGAGACCACCAGAAGGCCTCCGGGAGCGCGAGCGGCCCCCCATGGCTGCAGGGTACCTCGGAAAACCTCGAGGAGCTGGACGAGAGAGGGGGAGGGGGCGGGGGCATGGGGGGGGGGCGAGGGAGGGGGCGAGGGAGGGGGCAAGGGGGGGGGGCAAAGGGAGGGGGCAAAGGGAGGGGGCGAGGGGAGGGAGTACGATCCAAGAAAGATCCGGCGCAGATCCATGGCGGGGGTTCCAGTGCAGATCCAAGAAGTCCGCGCGGAGCGCCAAAAGTTTATGCTTATCGTGTTTGCCTTCTTTTAGGGGGGGGGAGTACGGAGTCCGCCGCGTGCAGCTGGTTTCGCCCCAGGCATGCTCGTCGAGGCGTGGCCGCCTCCAGCGCCGCACAAGACAGGTGCGGGGCGGGAGGCGCCAGGAGACGCGGGGAGACTCGAGGGCTGCCAGGTTCGGACCAGCAGGGCTGGGATCGCCCTCGGATTCCAGGCTCCTCGAGCCAATGGCACGCGACGGCTGGCCTGCACAGGTCTGGGCCAGGGGCCTTCTTCCCTCCGTGCCCCGGGATGCGCGCAGAAGCGACCGATGCGCGCAGTTTTTGCGAAGGTAGGTGCCGAGTGCTCCGTGCCCCTCGGATGAGGAGAGGCGGTGCGACGGAGACTTGAGCACACACGAGCGCAAGGCAGGTAGAGCAGGACCTGGTCGGACGGGGTCCGCAGGAGAGGCCCATACCGCAAGAGAAAGTGTGCTGAGTTAGAGGCCCAGTGGAAGACCGAAGTTACCAACAGCTTCGCAAGGCTTGACCAGAGCTGTCCCCAACGTTGCCATAGGCTCTGTCGTCCCGGCGTGGCGAACATGTTTCAGCACTTGTTCATGGCCTCCCTTGAAAGTACCTCCTCTTGGAGCTCCCAGGGTGCTTGGAATCTGGCTGGCCCTCTGTTGCCAACGGTGCCGAGGGCTGCTGGCTGGACATGCCAACGCTCCGCATGCCGAGCTCTCTTGCTCAGGACTCTGAGTCGCTGGACTGATGGGCGGATTGTGGGTGTGAGAGCGTGGAACATGCGCATGTTGATTGGCACGCACGTTCGGCCTGAAGCCTCGATTTGTTTGTGTGGTTGTGGGCTCTTCTTTTTCTTCTTTTCCGAAGGAAGGTAGGTTACCACCCTTCCCCAAGCGGTTCAAACCCACCTGGCGCTCCCGTTTTTGGTTTCAGGGACGGATGTCCCCCTCAAATTTTTGGACAGTGCAGGTGCGTCCCTCCAGTTCGCTGCGCGCTTGCTTCCCATCGAACAGTCACACATTTCAACATTCGGACTGTGCTTCTGGGCGACCCTTGGGTGTTCAGCTGGCCAGCTTGCTGGAATGTCATGACGTGCATCTGACCTTTGACTCCACCTGCCTCTACAGCCGTCTACTGGCTCAGGCGGCATGTCGGGGGCACCTCAGAGAGATGGCGCTGGCACACAGAGATGTGGCCGGGGTGCTAAAGCGGCACAATTATGTAGAGATCAAGAAGATCGGCGAGGGTAGCTTCGGCCGTGCCCTGTTAGTTGCGACAAGCGATGGAAACAGGCTCGTCTGCAAAATGGTGGACGTCAGCCAGGCGTCGCCCAAGGAGACGCATGACGCGGTGAAGGAGAGCCGGCTCTTGGCCCACTTCAAGCACCCCTACATCGTGCGGTACCGCGAGAGTTTCACAGACAGTGGTTGGCTCTGCATCCTCATGGAAGCCGACGGGGCCAAATATCATTCAGTTTGCACCCACAAGCCTTGCGTGGGAAGAGCGTCCTCTATAAACGCTGGCAGGGTGTAGGTTCTGACGGGTACCCTCCCCCCAAAGTTTCTGGCACTCTCTAACATCATTCCCACCCAAAAGTGTGCAGGAGAGGGTCGAACCTCCCCCCTCCCTTGAAAACGGACACGACGACGAGGAGCACGACGATGAACGCGACGACGAACACGACGAAGACGCTGACAACGAAGATTCTGCTCACGACGACGACGAATGCCATCTCCATCACACTCGTCCCGTCAACGAGCGATCTTACTGTCCCGCCCGCCCGCCCGCTTCAATGTCCCGCCCGACCGACCGACCCGCCCGCTTCAATGCCCCGCCCGCCTGGCCCGCCCGACTCTGTCAGGTTCCACCCTCCTGGCCGGTGATCGCCGGACTTCGGTCGTCTCCGTCAGCGTCAGTGCCGCCGCCGTTGTCGTCTTCGTCGTCGTGGTCGTTGTCGTCGTGGTTGTGGTCGTGGTCGTGTTTGTCGTCGTCGTCGTCGTGTTCGTCGCCGTCTGCCGGCGCGAGAGGAGGGCGGGGCTAGACTCCCCCAGCGCTTTCGGAGGGGGATGGGGGAGCATTGGTTCCGGGGGAGGGAGGGGTGATTTCCGGGCGAGGAGAAGCGGTTCCAGCGCTGAGAGGGTCAAGTTTGGATCTTGTTCGGTGGCGCGCCTAGGGTGGAAGAGAGGGGGAGCAGGCTTTCTCAGAAGACGGCGGGGCTTCTCAGCAGCATTCCAGCCTTGTGAGAAGTTTTCAGCGTCCTCGTGGAATGCTAAGAAAATTTCTTTCAGAAGGCCGGACGACCTCTCAACCTTCCGAGAAAAGGCCCGCCCCCTCTCACTTCCCCCCCGGGCTGGCCGTCGATTTTTTTTTTGGAGGGGGTTCTGCTTCTGTGAAGCCCTGGGGCCGGCTTAGATCTTGCGCAGCACAGCGCCCGCGAAAAGCGCTCTCTCCTGACATGCTTGTGGACGGTTCCTGCGTGGTTGGCGTTGTTGGCGCACCATTCTCGCCTGCGGATGTTGTTGCCTCTCGGACCCTTGGCATCGACCAACCGAGTGGCTCCAGGGCCGCCATGCGGGCGCAAGGTTATTCATGGTTCGCGGTGCGCGATTCTTCCTCCTCGGCCTCTTCGTGCTCCTCTCGGGGGGGGGGCGGAGCGAGAGCGAGAAGCTGTTCGCGACTCGCGCAGCGCGAGGCTCGGACACAGCTGCCCTCTGGGATTTCGGCAGCCAGGCGAGTTTGGTGTGGGTCGAGGCAGCCTCGTGCCCGGAGGTCGGGCAGGAGGGGGGGCCTGGGAGCGGCAGAACGCTCGGGAACCTGGGGCCCCGCGGGCGGCGGGGAGTGCAGGCATGGAGCAGGGCGCGGGGACGAGCCACTTCCATCCAGGATGTGGGCGCTCCGCCTTCAAATAATTAGGCTTTCACTGGCTCTACGTTTCGAGGGCCAATTTCTCTCCCCTGTCCATGGGCCTGGCGCCCACGCGCAAGATGCTCGGGTGGACACGTAGTCCATGTCAGCGCGTGCCCGGGGGAGGCGGGAGGGTGCGAGGTCGGAGCGCCCACAGTCTGTCGATCTGGGCACCTTGCCCCCAGGACTACTGCGAGGGCGGTGACCTCACGAAGCAGATCGAGGCTCACGGGGCTGGAGCCTGCACGCCTTCCAGCCCGTCGGGCGTTGCGTATTGGGGGGCGATAAAGGGGGGAGAAGACTGGTGCACCATTTGTTCCACGAAAAGTGCACGTTTCCAGCCCCCCCCCAAACCCCACTTACCGCCCCCTCTTTTATGAACGCCCAAGTCCGCCCAACGCAGGGGAGAAGGTGGGGCGTGGGCGCGGGAGTGGAGCGAGGAACAGGACGCGGGAGGAGGTGTCCAGAGGCGGGGGAAGGAGGGCAGCGGAGAGGATGGGCGGCAGGAAACACATGAGGTTTTCCAGGAAGGGCCGCGTCTTCCAGGATCGAAGGAGTTGTCACGAATTTCTCTGCGGAAGGCGAGGGAAGGGCAGCAAAAGCCCCGGGGAAGTAAAGCGAGACCGCCTCCGCCGGCGGAAGACGGCGGAAGGCCACGGAGTAAAGTGGCGGAGGACGGCGGAAGACCGCCTCCGCCAGCGGAAGACGGCGGCAGTTGTCGGAAGTAAGGAATACACCTCCAAGATATGATTAGATGGCAGCACTCTTGGGCTCTGCGTTTCCGGGATCGGCCACGTGCTCGGCCGTGTTCGGCTCCGAGCGGTTTTGAGTGTGGCACGGCTTTTGTCCGGGGCCACCCTCGATGGGAGAGGGGGTGCAGCCGCAAGAGTACGCGAGCAAGACTCTTCCTCCTCCTCCTCCTCCTCCTCCTCGTCATCCTTCTCCTCCTTGTCCTCCTGCTCCTCCTCCTTCTCCTCCTCCTCCTCCTCCTCATCCGCCTCCTCTTCCGTAGTCATTTTGGCTCAAAGTTTTGAGTTCCCATGTGAAACAAGTTGATACCGCAAGTCCGCGGCTAGACCTCTGTTCTTTCAACGCACCGCTGCGTGAGCTGCCAAGCGGCGCAGCATACTGTGAGCTCCTGGAGGAGCAATTTCGTGCTGACGATTTCATGGCAAATGGCCTGCCTTCTCGTGCCGCAGCCGCGGGCAAGCCTTCGGCCAAAGGTGGGGAGCGCAAGGCGTGGGCGGCGCCATGGCTATGCAGGTGGTGCGCTCATGAACACACGGGCGCCAAATGGTGGAACCGAGGCGATTGCCAAGCTTGCACCAGCTGCAGTGTCGCCAAGGGTGCCAGTTTCGGGGGGCATAAGCCGCTGGATGGGCCGCCGAGCCAGCGCTCGCCTGAGGCCTCTGCAGAGCGCCGCCGTGCTGGAGCTGCGGCCGCAGACGCCCTTGCCGAGAAGGACCGCGAGATCGCCAAGCTACGCGAGCAGAACAAGGCGGCGAGTGGACCAGCTCCTCCCAGAGAAGATCCACCACCAGCAAATGCTGACCAGGAGAGGCTGTCCGAGATCGCGGGTTTGTTGCGCACCCTCGGTACATCCACCGACCTTGTCTTCGTGGCGGCGAGGGACGCGCTCTGGAAGGAGCGCGACGCCATCAAAGCCAAGATCGTGGAGGCCAAGCCGTATGCTGGACAGCTCCATCATTATACCACACGCATCAACACCTTGACGCAGGCCAAGGGTCAGCGACAGAACGTGTTGGATGGCTACAAAGAGCAACGGGTGCAACTGGATGCCAAGATCGCGGGGGCGGAGGCCCAGATCAGCGAGCTGTCGGCTGACCTCCAGGAGCTGGAGGCGCTGCGCTGGAAGGTCTCAGCCAAGGCGCCCACGGCAGCGCCTGGAGACTGCTCGCTACGCACGCTCGTCCCCGCGATGGACCCTTCCGTTGAGAAACTGGGCCAGATGCTGCAGGGTCTGGGAGCCGACGACGAGCTGTCCGAGTCTGTGTCTACCTGTTTCGGCCAGCTGCGGGCCCTGGCTGGCAAGGCTGACGCTGCTGAGAAGGAGAGGTCGGCTGCCAAGGAAGCCGAGCCTGATCGAGGAGCGGCACCAGCCGGCAGTGGGACCCTACCAGGGATGCCGACTACTGGCCAGCAACAAGCAGCTCAGGATCGCGCCGTACCCATGGACACTGACGACATCACCGAGCTGCGCGACTTCCTGCGCACGGCGACTGGCCAGGACCCACCGCAGGAGGAACAGCAGGCCAGGGAGGCCATCAAGCGCTTCGCCAATGCAGCGGAGGCCCTGCACGCCAAGAAGCAACGCACAGGGCCGTCTGCCTGAAGTACCTGACATCATATATGATGTGCAATTACCTGCAGGGTCGCCTAAGCCTAGCTTGTCGTATGTGTGCCTGCAGGTGTATCACGTTGCCTTTTGGCGGAGTTTCTTTCTGGTAAAGTTCACGAAGCATTACTTCCGTAAGGCGTGCAGCGGCGCGTCACTTACCTCATGGACGCCTGAGACCGAACTGTCTAGGCTTGATTACGGTTTTCCTTTCGCTGGAAGCTGTCATTCTTGGCTCTATAGAGATTACCGCATGTACGTTTCTAAATTTGCACTGGACATCTCGTGGAGATGTGGATCACGGATAGCAGGTATATCAGCAACGGAGGCCAGGTCATGGTGCCGAATGCTGCCCAGCTGGGCTACGTGGACGTGCTGCGCCCCCCTCTACTCCATCGCATCTGGCATAGTGTGCGTGCTGAGGAGGTCAGGTCAAGTGCTGTTGACTGGCTCTCCTGGTAGCCGCGCGGATGCGGGCTTAAAAGTCGTTCGGCCTTCCCCAAGGCTTGCACCTCGAGAGTCTAGGGGTCCCGCATGCCGACGTCGACCTGCAATGACTTCGACCTCGAGTACGCTGCAGGAACGGGAAGCTGATCCTGTAACAGAGGATCGGAGAGGTCAGCCAAGCGTCATGAGTCTTCGATATGGGATCCACTTCGCGGTCATGCTGCCACTGCTTTCAACGCAGACAACTGGCGCTCCAGCCACCGCCAATGGCGCGCTGACCTCCAACATTACCTCGTGCGGTTTCAGGAAGGACGTGCTCACGCTGCCTCCATGTCGCGGTGCCATTACTTGCTTACACGAACATCCTGGCGACGGGCAGAAGATGCCTGGGCTTCAGCACACAGCGCGGCAATTGGGGCTACATGGAGTTTGGACGGCGGCCATCTCTATTGGGCGAGGAGGCACCACGGGTGGTTGCGCAATTGTGGCTCCGAAGCATCTACGCGTTGGGCTGGGCCCGCATCTCGCCTCTCCCACGCTGGTGCCTGGGCGTGTTACTGCTGGGCACGCGTCTTGGGGGCCTCGAAGAGGGGTGGTCCTCCTTGCAATATACTCGGTGGGCTCTGTTGGACCCAATGGGGAGAATATGAAGATACTTACGCAGACTGCAACTCATGAAGGGCAGTTCAATTATGCAGGCCACAAGTGGATCATTACAGGTGACTGGCATAGGGACCCCACGCTTATATTGGGACGGCTGCACTCCATCCATGGGCTGCAGAAGGCGCCCCTTCAACCTACCTGCAACGCGGTGCAGCCTGGGGCGGTGCGGGACTACTAGTTTGTGTTATGTTCTTTGGTGCAATGGCTAGCTGAATGTTCGTATTGTGTAACCGCTACCTCCCCGCACCAGCCCGTAATTTTGGGGCTTCAGATTCAGGGGCATCCGCAGTGGGCCCGCGTCCCATCGGTGCCCAAGAAGCCACCTACCGTGCCAGTCGTAAGACGTTCGGTCCCCACCCGCAGCACAATGGCGACGGGTGCAGAGCCTTGTCAGCGCAGCCAGCGATGGACCTGCCCTTGCCCATCGAGAAGGAGATCCTGGACCGCAACGATGTCATGGATCCGAAGATGCGCCGACAATCTCAAGGACGCGCTGGACCCAGCCAGTGGGAGTGGAAGCAGTCTGCGTCGATTGCCCCGCCACAGCCCCAACGACTACGAGCACGCAAGCTCCCTGGGAGGTGGCGCCGACACCTGCGATCCACATATACGCGAATGCTACTTGCCATGGAACGGGTTGTGGGACAAGGGTATGGCAGGGTATTTCCTGCGAGATTGCTGCCCGACATATTTGGCACATATGGACAGTCTGTATTGCACGATCAACCAGCGGGTGGGCGCATATTGCTTGCCAAACTTGCTTGGGACCTCCAGGGCTTCTTTGCCAGGCTCGGGCGCACTACATGAGTGCCGCCTCTGTTGGGCGGCGAGGGCCAGCGCGTGTTCTTGCAGCTCCCCGGCCTCTTCTACCAGCCGGGTTTCCCTGAGGTGGTCGATCGGGCCGTCGAGAAAGTCACCGAGGTGGTGGATGCCATTAATAAATATGCTAGTATTGGTCGGGCTAACGGGTCCAAGCAAGTTTCCAGAATGGGGCCGGCAAGGCGCGCAGATACACAACAGTGCGGGGGCTGCAGGAGACATTACAAGATGCGGGGTCTCGTGGGCAGCCCTGCCAAATTGCAGATGGCTGCCTGGGTTTTTGGAGCGGCATATGGACCTTGCACGGTGATCAGGCCTTGGATAGACCAGTGGACTACGACCAACGGGAAGGACTACCTGCAATCACGGGGTTGGAGATACGGCGTACCATACGGAGGTCCAAGGCCACGACAGCATTGGGTCAAGTGCAGATTCAGCCGCGAGCATTGGAGCAGGTGTCCGACTTAGGCTTGGACACGTTAGGCCAATTACTCATGATCTGTGAGTCATTGGGTTGTTGGCCTACACAACGCGTCGCTACTACCATGGCGCGATTTCCTAAGCCGACAGGAGGGCACATACGAATAACGTTAATCGACGCAATTGTTAGGATCTGGAGCCGAGTACGAAGACCGATTTCCAAGCGGTGGGAGTTGGCCAACCCATCGCCGTCTTTCTGGGGATCACGACCAGGGGCCACTTCAACGGACGCGGCAGTTCAGCACAATCTTGCGGTGGAGACGGCAAAGCACACGGGCATGCACTCAGTCAGTGCGCCCATTGACATGTTCAAGCGCTTTGAAACCATTCGGTTCTCGGAGCTGGTCAGCCACGCTAGAAAGTTGCAGTTCCCGCTGCGCTTGCTCTGGCAACGCGTGCAAGTATATCAGGCACCACGCCTTGTGCGCCCATGCGGCTCCATACCATCCCCCTTTTACT